CTTTCAGTTTTCAGAGCAAAACAGGAAGCTTAAAAACCAGGCCTTTGAACTCCATTTTTCTCATGACAATTCTGTGACATGCCCTGAAATTTGAAATTTAATTTTTACAGTTTCTTTTTCCTATATTTTCAGGTTTTCTTTTGGGAAAATAATTTCAGTTTTATGTTTCTGCATAACAATTTATTATAGGATCAGCAGCAAAAAAATTAAAATACAAATGTGATGTGTGGTATAACTTTGAGAAGAAAACTAAATTAAGTGTATACCATTTGAAATAACATTTCACAATGTTATGAACAAGCACAAGCAATCTCTTAGTTATCTCATAATTGCATTCCAGTTTACACAGAGACAACAGCAGTTAAATAGATGGTGTGATGATGTTGCATTTGAGGAAATAGATTTAGCAACTTGCCTGCTAATCACATAATCTTAAAATTATTTTCTCTAAATCAGTTTCTGGGGATCCTGTCAGTGTTAGTTCCAAGACTTAACTAATCTTGAGCTAATGCAGTAATCCACTGGAGATCTCATGTCCTGTGCTAAGGTCCACAGTGGGGCTTAACAGATGTGGCACACTTGTCATAGGGTAAATCCTGTCCTTCCAGGAGTGGTCACTGTTGAAACATACGTGCGGGAATGCTATGATTTTCTTGGCTCCGTGCAAAACCCCTGATTCCTCTGCTGCATATCCAGATATTTTTAAACATTGGTAGAGTATTTAGAGGTCATCTGAAGTATACAGAAGATGTAGTTTCCCTGCACAATGAAAGCAGGAGTACCTGGGCTTCATGAAGGTCTTGTAGTGTGTCTGTTCAACCCAATATTTCAAGTGTGTCCTTTAAATCTTTTCAGACCTAGTGTTTCCCATCTTGACAATGAATTTCTTTGACACTTAGATTTCAACTTGTTTAATCTGTTAATGTTTCTTTCCATATAAGAAAGAAATTTTTGAGGTGTAGAATGGAAGATGTTACTTGTGTAGAATTATAAAAGATTTTCTGATATCTTACAAAATAAGACACAAACATTTAATTTTGAATCAACACCAAATGTTTCAAAATCTGTATCTACAAACTTAATAATTTTGTTTTCTCTCCTCTGAACTAAGTCCTTTTTATAAAATATCCTGGGGCAGTTTTCTTCTTTTTAAGAAATGAGAATCGTCTCATAAACATACACAATTTCAAATTAAAAAACAAATAAAAGCTTGGTTTAGGCATGTTAAAATTATATATTTGATTAGAAGCAATTTCAAAATTTCTTGCATGTTTCTTTTTCTAATTAAAATTGTTTATTGAAATAATCCTATTTTAATTAATATTTCAAACCTATATTTAAATAATTTACTGTTAAAACATTAGAATTATTTATCTATAATTACAAACAATTGATGTGCTCTGCACAAATTGAAACTGATCCACTGGTTTTGGTGGCATGTAGTTTAAGCCACTTTAACACAGTATTGTTAATTTTCACAAGAGTCAAAAAGTCTGGAATATTTGGGATTCCTCATTCCTGAAGAGCTACATTCTACCAGAGCTCTAATTGTAGCTTTATTTATGTTTTCTCTCATTATACTATCAAATATTTTTGTAAGGCAATTGTTTTAAAAACAAACATGAACTCCTTGGGAGATTTTACACATTACACGAGTATACTAAAATTTACAGAGGAGCACTGTCATGGTTTTCTAATCACAAAACCCTTTGAAAACTCCATAAGCTCTAGTTATTTCTCTAGTTATTTCTGACTTCAGTGGTGTATATTGACCTTATTTATATTCTTGTCTATGGTGAGGCTAAACTGATGAAAAAAAAAATCTGTGTAGCTTCTGTAGACCCAGTACTGTATCTGTACATCTCCTATTGGAATTCCTGAAAACCCTGCATTTCCCGAGGCTCTAGGCACATGACCTGAAAATTTTGTCACAAATCATAGCAAATGGAACATGCTTTGTTTAAGCCAGAATCTGAGAGACTCAGCTCTTTATCCTTATATTACCACACAGTTTTCTTTAGCTGAGGTTTGGAAAGGATACTGAGAATTAGCCCAGAGCTTACCAACTACTTGAACAACAACATAGTTGTATCAGATTATGGTATTCAGGTTACTTTATGAATCAAAAATCAGGTACTTAGTGCCTAAAATAAGAGCTTAAACACCCATGATAATTTGGCTATTGCCTCATAACAGAAAAAATGTTAATTTTTCCAGAGCAAAATAATTTGCTTCAAAATTGAAAATCCCAGTTTATTTTAACTACAAGTCTACAGAATGCACTATTATAAATACATTTGCAGTGTTCAGCAAGCTTATATGGCATTTGTTGCTAAGTGGTGACATTATTTTATCTCATGACTAAAATAGCCAGTGCCTTGGATGTCCTTGTATGGGCTTCTTCAGTTACCTTAGCAAGTTAGAAAAACTGGTATCCAGTAAATCCTTGGTTCTGACTGCTCTGTGGTGCTTGGGCTCAGAAAACTCAAACATTCCAAACTGTAAGATCTATCATTAGTGACCACCTGCATCCAATGTGGCACAGAAGGATTGTAGCCATAAAACCAGGGAGCAGAAAGCAGTCCCTGCCCTACAGATCTTGTGTAATAAGCAAAGGAAGGGGTGCACAGTGAGCAGTGATTGATCCAAAGTCACATAAACAACTACTGGAAAAATCAGGAGTTTCCTATTTGCTATATAAACTACTTTTTTTCCTCAATATCTTCCTCTATTTTTGCTATTAAAAGTCATTCCTGTTCTGAAACAGGAGCACCAGTCAAATGGAAAACCACAGTGCTTAGACTTCTCTTAAGTCCTTTGTTAAGGTTTTTAATCCTATTTTACTTGTTAAATACTAAAATTGAGATATAATTTAAAACTGAATGTATGCAATGAAATGCAGTGAGACAAGTGGGTAGCAGAAATTTAGCAAAGAACAAACATTTCAGTCGAAGCTAAAATTGAATATTTCCTTCCATTTTGGAATAGGAAGTTAGTATAGATAGTAGAGAAATATTACATATTAGCTTCCAGTGAGGAAAAAATAGTCACTGATTACTAAGCCGTTTTTCTGCCTAAATCTCATCCGGGATATTTCAGTATCGTTTAATTTTTTAGGTTTATTTTTAGGCTAGACAAAGGTACCTACAATTCCTTTTCTGTTAGCTTTGCATAGAAATAACATGTATTAGTCAAAAATATTTAAATATATTAACATTTCCTAATTTTAGAGGAAATAATATTTTAATTTTGCCTGAATTTTCAGGAAATCATGTTATACTAACCCATGCCTCATCTTCAAAACACTGGGGTTTTTGCTTTATCTAATTAAAAAGTGTCTCCACCTGCAGCTGAAGCTTTCACTTAGAAATATGGCTTAGTTAATTTGTATTTCTGCACAATTGTTTATTTGTATTTGTACTGTCATGAGGTTAAATGTTACCTCTTCTCATAATAAGCAATATTTGGCATCCTTCTGATGACCTCCTCTTCTTCCCAAGACTATGAATATGCAAAATTTAATCTTGTAATCTCAGATAATTGGAGTAATTGGCTCCAGCGTGGCCGCATATTTGAGAAGGGTCGCACAAAAAAAAATGTATATAATAGGATCAAGAATGCCTCTTCTCTGTATCCAATTCATGTCACAAAATAACATGAATATTTCAAGCAATATGCACAGTAAAAGAAAATCATGCCGCTTAAAATAATTTGCAAGTTTCCTTGGATTTATTCTAACACACATAAATATGAACATGAATATTGCAGAAACACAAACATTAATTTTTAAAACTTTTTGAAATATCAAGTATACAATCTGAAGCTCTTTGTGTTGTGTGAGAATATAAGACAGCTCCAAAACATGTCCAGGCAATACCTTAAGTACTTAAAAAAACATAAGGTATGTTAGGGTTTCATAGCAGTGATGGATTGTTCTGCTTAACTCTTCATGAAGCTTCTGCCTCTTTGGAGAGCTGAACTCTTTCACCCAAAGCTGACATCCTCATTTCTTCACTGAGAGCCAAAGGAGTGCCTTTGAACTTGGGGAATCTGCAGTGATGAATGCATTAGGCCTGCCTGCATAGGCAGGAACCTAAGCCCTAGGCTTTATTCTGACTTACTGCTATCATGGTGCTAACCACAGTTCAACTTTTGTATTCTCTCTACTGATAAATTTCCAGCCAGAAGGAAAGAAACAGTTTGTTTACTCGCACTGTCAGCAGTTATTGTCCTTTGGGCAGCTCAGCTCTCCTGCTGCTCCTGTGAAGAGTCAGGCCCTTACATGCATTGCACAGCACTCACCATGGCACATGTGGCAAGAGAATGAAACACACATGTCACCAAAAGAGTCACCAAGTCACCACAGTACACCTTACAAAAAAATCTGTCTTTAAACACTGTATGCAAATCTTCTTGGCTTATAAATATTTATGTGTGGAAAAAAAAAATCACTTTGCTGATGCCTGTTGCATATATTTCACCAAATATTTACTGCACAGAGCTATGCTATGCACAGTGTAGGTTATGCAAAGAAGACAGTGATAGCAGCCCTCATCTCTTTCTCTATGGCTTGTTTTACAGCTTATAGTCATTTAACCTCCTAGACAAGGAGACTTTTCTGCAATATTCTCAAAATGATAGAAAGGGAGATGACAAGGTGTGCATTCTAATTTATTCATAAAATCCTAGTGATACCCTTGATTATAAGCACACAAAATCTTTTGTCCTGCTATCAGCCTGAAAAGTTCCTTTTTCAAACACCACATAAAAATATTAATTTGTCAGAATTCAAGTGTTTTGCCATGCAGCAGGTGTAATGTCAAAGGATTGACAAATGTGAGTTTAAATAAGACTATGGCAATCATCTCTATTGACTGCAAGAACACTTTAGGATTCCTCTTTTAATTGGTGCTGCAGTTGTTCCAGTGCTTTGAGAATTGTTATGACAATAGTTCTGGCTGCAGTTGACTAGAGAGCATTAGCAGAGAAATACTCATGTCTTGGTTGGACTTGCACTTCTTTTATTACATTAATACAAGTATCACTCAAGCATTTGCAAACTCTTGTAAGAAAGAATGTGCTCATATGTAAAAAATCTCAGTCATCTGAAGGGTGCAGTTTGGTGCCACATATATGCCAGTTGACTTTGAAGTTGTCTCAAAATGATTTCTGGAAAAAAAATACAAGTCCTTTCTGTTACACATGCTTGGGGAAAAAAAAAAACCACCACTGAGTATTTTTTATGGAACAACACAATCAATAATGTTACTTTAATAATTATAACAGTAGTATAATTGGCATACATAGACTAGCTTTTCTTCTGAACCTTGGAAAATTGGAAAAAAAGTTTTAAATATAGTCTTTGAAACCAAAGTACTTTTTAAAAAAAATTAGCTATCTTAAAATTCCCTCTTCTGGTTTCCCCAGGGACTAATATTTTGTGTGGTTATAGGCATACTGTTACTGAATATTCATATACAGCCTCATCTGGACATTACAAGACAAGAATTTGGCTTCATCATAATGATTGCAAAGTTTGGGCAGTATTTGAGGTTTAGGTTTGAATGGGCAGTACTGGTTCATAGTATGAAACTGACATATATAGACATGTTAAGAACTATTCATTTGAATACACTTCATTTTAAAAGCCTTGTCAGTTGAATCTTGCATGAGACGTAATTAAGAGTTATGCAGATTGTGTTCAAAGAGGAGGCTAGAGAGCAAGGAAAGGCCTGGACAGGCAGTTTTTGAGTCCTGGCAAGGCTAAGACTGTTCTAGATGAAATAGCTGTAAATAGGCTTGCACATGCTGTGAATGTGTGTATGGGGAACATTTTCCAAATGTTCAGTGGTAAATCACCCCCCCATTTTAGGATCTTTACCTAATTTGTTCAGAATAAAAACCTACTTTGTCCCCCATCTCAGTGCACTACACTCTCACTGAAGCAGTAGTCAAGTAGACAAGATGAGCTGATTTTAGTATATCAACTTTATGTCTGAATGGACTCAGGAGAGTCTGATAGGCTTGGACTATGTATTCTTTGGTCTCTGTAACACTATTATTTTTATCTAGCTGGTTGCACCCAATTCTGTGCAATTTTTGAATCTCAGAGGATAAGTCCTTTCATCACAAGTCCTGTTAACTATTATCCCTAATAGTTCTCTGCATGCTTTTTCTGTCTTTAAATTAAGATCCCTTTAATGCCCTCAAATGGTCATTGGTGTAAGCAGAACAACAAAGTTAAAAAAACATAAATGTCTCCAGTGCTGTGAAGTGTGTATTCCAGTTGGAAAGTGGTTTTTAAGGAAAGTGCAACATTCAAAATAATGTTTTATATTGAGTTATAACTATAAATTATATCATGTGTTTCTATAAAGATTAAAATAACATTAAATATTCAGTGTATTAATATTGCATATTATATATATTATGAGCTGTTTATTAACTACATAGCAATAAAATTACAATTCATTTAAATGGCTATATGATGTAAAGGTACATTAATTAGGCAGTTGCTGTTAAGTGCATAGCATTTCAGGTAAGAGATTATATGTAAGGGTGTAGCTCTTTTGTCTATATAATACTGGTTACTTACTCTGAATGGTAAAAATTAAGAAACAGCAGAAATGCCAAAATTAAGTCTGTTTAAACTTTATGTCATCCAGTGTATTATAGTGATACAGAATGTGGTTTGGCAAAACACAAGCAGTGTTATTCAGCTGAAAAAATCACTTAGATGCTCAGAGGAAGCCACTTGGATCTCTTCCTTAGTCCCCCAGAGAAGATGCTTCTGTGTTGTAAATGTAAAGTGCTGAATAGGTAACATAATGTTATAATGTTTGTTTTGGTTCCTCTCAGTCATTGTGTAACTTTATCTTGTTTATTGTATGTAATCCCAACCTTATGTCAACACTTAAAAGAGTTATCCTGTTTTATGCTTGTTACCATAGGATCAGGGCAGCCTACAAACACAAAAGAGTTGGCCAGTTCATGTCTCAGCTCCCAGATATTGTGTTTTGTAAAATTCATAAATATTTGTCCCAGAATTTGCAGAAGCAGCCTCCAAACGAAGTGTTTCCTTACCTGCATTCTTCACTGGAGATGACTGGAACTTGTCTGATGTCCACCAGTCACTCATGGCATATGCTGGCTTCAGCTGCACTGACTTGTCAGCATCTACGAAATGCAGACTGTGGCTGTCTTGGGATGGGGACCCAGAAAGCAGGCAGCATATCATTAGTGGTGCAGTGTGGTTGTTTACCTAGTATAAAATGAAAATCCACAAATCTGCAGTCTGGATTCAATGTGCACCACAGTCTGTACTAATCCTCACTTAACTAAGTTTATAGCTATCTCTTTAAATTCCTATTGTAAACTTCATTCCTTGAAATAATGCATGTAGTTCTTTCCTTTATATGTACACAAGCTTCATGGGAAAACAGTAGTGCAATTCCTTCCAAGGGACAGGGTGTGCCAGTCAAGTTGAAATCTTTACTTAAGTGCCCTACAAATGTCAGTATGTCAGTCTTCTCATGTATGACACCAAAAGACATTCAGAAAACTTAAGGGAGTTGCTGTGATTAATGGCTATTTACTTATTATACAAGCAGAGGTCAACAAACATAATTTGTTTACATTTTTTTTTGCATTAAACTAATGTGAAGAATCAAAATATTTTCATTTTCATTGGAGGAATTATGGTTGCATCTAGGTTTCGGTACTTTTCACTTCCATAAAAAATGCACTTGCTTATAAAAGATTATAAATGCTTGATTAGAAAGAAAATGTTTTTTCATAGAATAGGTCTGTCAGAACTTTGTTTCATATACTCTTTTATTTGAAGATTCATTAATTAATCTTTTTAGTTTCTCACCTTTGATAATGGTAGTATTTAAAGGGTTTTTTTCCTGGTTTTTGCTTTTGTTTTTACAAAAGTAATTTTTAAAAATTAATACTCTGTCTACCCTCACAGTTTGTTTTTTGTCTAGTATCCTGAAAACTTCTAGAATCTGTATTTCTTACAAGAGTAAAATATCAGTTATCTGGATTTCAGATTACTTATGTGAGTTATGGAAAGACTGTTGAGGTTTGGCACAAGCTCAGTTCCACTGTTTCTCACACCAGTATACCTCTGGGACCAGTGTTGCCACTGTTGCTCTTGTTCTGCAGCAAAACACAAAAAAACCCACCCTGGCAGATGTGACCTTATTTCCAGCAAGCCCATCCAGGTCAGGTAGCTCCTGATCTCATTTTGAAGACCAGGGCTGCTGGGGAGTACAAATACACCTCACCCCACAGACCTCTGGGTCCCAGAAGCTTGCTGGGCTCAGTGCAAACCCGTGTGAACACCTGGACCTGGCTGGGCTCCAGCACAGTGCTGAGTCTGGCAACGAGCTGGGAGAGCAATGCTGATGCCAAGGGACAAGCCTGGCCCCTAAAGAAAACATTATCTACCACGTGTTTTTTCCCTCTGAAGACACAGTCTGTGCTTCTATTTACTGTACCTGAGTCTCAGCACTTTCTGGCTTCTAGGAGGTGCCCACAGCACCAGGGCACATGCTAGGGTTTGCATTTGCACTGTGCTGTGCTATGCTAGAGGCAAAACATGCATCCAAAGCACCAAGGGTAGCACAGAAGTGCACGGTAGTTGCTCTGTACAAGGCAGATGAGGTCAAAACCCATTCAACTAGAGCTAATAAAGAGTATTTGTTGCCTGGTGGAGACACTGGTGGTGCTTTGAACCACATTCTCTCTGAGCTATACATCCTTCATGCAGTGCACTCCAGCAGAGTTTTCTCTTTGATCTGTAATTATGGAAGGTGTGGCCACATATTTTGAATTTATGTATCAAATTTACACGCTAAGAATCACCATTCAAAGGTACCTATATTCCTCCACAGGCTGCTATAGAGAATTTAGACTCCTGAATTTAGGTGTTGGATATCAAGCAATCAAAGTAATTGAAAGTAGATGGTATATGTGTTTAGCAGAATGGGGTTAAAATCACACTATTTCCTTGTATTCTATCACCCAGAACATCACTTCAGAAATAATTATCTGAAACTTACTAGAAAAAAAAGAAGTGTTGAAAGGAAATTTCAGTTCACTGTTCTCCTTACTGAAGATGTTCTTTAGTTCAAAGTAAATGGAAGTAGAAATACTTTATAGCTACCAAAGTACTCAGTGTGGGCAGGGACTTTTCTGAAAGAAGAGTCCTCTCTTGGCACCTGTTGAGAAGGAGGGAAAATGAACAGCTGAAAAAGACATCATTTACATGCAAAATATGTGCAATACCTTAGAATACTTATATTAGAGAAAAAAAAAATAATTATGAAGTTGAAGTGATTGTAGGACTGCAAGCCATGTCTGGAAACTTCCAGCAGTGATATCTTTGACAAATATTCCCATAGAGAAATGTAGCTCTGACAGTGGCTGCAGCAAAAAATGGGAAGGTAAAGATCTTGAGACAAGTAAAAATCATGGCCAATACTGTCAATTTTTGAAGGATAAATTTATATTTCTTATACGAGCGAGGCACTGAAATAGTCTCCCAGAAAGCCCAGAAGAACTCACAGGCTAAAGACCAACAGCAGCTGGGAAAGTTCTCTGGCAATGATGACAGATGTGGGTAGGAAGGCAGCAGGAGTGGTGGTAGAGTTGAGCACAAATAACAAAAGCTGCCTTTTACCCGGCAATATATGCCCTGCAGTTCCACATACTGCAGAGACTGGCTATTTCTTACTTCTAAGATACTTCTTAGCTTGGATAAGGATGTTAGTCTACATTCAGACTGCTGCCATGGACATGTGAGAAGGTTATTATTATTGATGTAACTTATTTTGTAGATTAATTTTTTATCTCTGACTAGTTTATTGTTTTATTGTTTCTTTATCCTTTATTAAAGTTATGTTTATTTAAATCACTTTGACTGGTACAGGTACTCCTTACTCTTTTATGCCTTATTTCTCAGGTTTCTCAGAGAGAACCTTAAAGCACAGTTTCTTAAGCTTTCAGAAGGAACTGAGAGAGCTTGTACTGGCTTCTTGTCAGTGTTAATGAGCACAGACAGTTTATGATTCACACTGCTTAGCCAGCCAATTCATCTTTATCTTCCATGAAAAGACCTGGAGTTGAGTTCAATACCTTCCATGCTTGCTGAATTATTTCTTTATGCTTTTAGAAACTCTTACTGCACAGACTTTGCACTTCTCAGAGAAGAACTGTGCAGTTGCAGCATGTAGTGTCAGTCTGAGCTGTATTTGTCATTGTAGTACTTTCCCCTGCATTTGTAACTGCTTTCCTGGCTGTGTGAGTTTGTGGCTGTATCCAAACCCACTGAAATCAGTATAAAGGTTTTATGACTGATGGGATCTGGGTCTTATATTTCAGGCTGGAAACTAGTTAGTCAAATATACATGAAAAATCACAGAATGCCTGCATAATGCCTACTAAATTAAGATGAATTAATCTGACATAAGAAAGATTTCTTTCTAATGAAAGGGTTAAGTAATCCTTTTGCAATACTACTTCATGGCCTTTTATGGTGATGCTTTGTATCACACCTATACAAGTTTCCCTGGCACACTTAATCACCATTTACATAACCTCTACCATGGATGTGGTTAAAGGAAAACGTGCCACGTTTGAATATGCAACCAAACAGAAACAGTAATAAATGGAGGAAATATAGTGCTGAAATAAAGGAACAATATAGGGGAAGTAATATTGTTGGCCAGGACTGAAATTGATTAAAATTAATACAAATGTAGTGAGCATGTTTAACTTGATTCAAAGAATGCACATGATGATACCAAAAGACAGCATCAAGAAGAACTGTTCATCTCTTCATTTCAGATTAAGTCTCTGCTATTAACATTATTACAGGGTGTAGCTTACCCATCTCCTCTCAATAGTGTTGACAGAGGCTATGAAAATTTGCCAGGATAAAACCTGCTTTAGCTCAGGTTAAGGTAAGAGAGCATGTTAATCTTGTGGAAATTAATAGATTCGTCTGTACATGCTCTTCTAGCATCTGACTTCCACTGAAGTATCCTAAGAAGCACCAGTAAAAGGGGAGATAAGTCACTGAACGTGGACATTTGTAAGTGCCTTTCAAATCTCACATGTAGGATTTTTCATTGCCTTCTTTTGTGCTGACTTCTAGGTTCTGAAGCAGACAGATTTAGATTTGTATATGAAAATAACAAAAAAGGCTCGCTGCCTGTTATCCCTAAGGAAAGAGAAGATTCTGTTCTTGCAAAGCTGTGTTTTTCTTGTGGGGAAGAAGGCTTATTGTAAAATTATAATAAAATTGTAAAATTGAACCTAGGACTACCAAGAACCCAGAACCCAAAAGGATGGATATAGAGATTCCAGGGAATTATGAGGCTGCATGAATGAGGGAGAATTCAAGATTATGGGAACTGTGAAAAAAAAAAGGGAAATCTAGATTTTATGGTGTTCAAAGGGGAAGAAATGTAGATGGGTAAGAGCACTGAGAAAAGAAATGAACAGTGACAATTTATAATTAAGTTGTAGGCTAGTGAGAGCATGCATATTCTGAATAAGAAACAGGAGGGGAATGCACGGACAAATTGAGACTAGGAGGATATCAGTGAAAAGAATAACAGAGGAATAAGGGTTTTTCTGTTTCCATGCCTTTTACTGCCAAGAAATACAAACAAGAGGGATTTTTTCTTGTTTGTTTTTCTTTCACTAGCAAGACATCAAGGCTGATATTCTCACCACCCTTCCTCAGAACAAAAAAAACACCCACATAAAACTGTACCTCTTAAATCTGTATGAAGAATCAGTTTCAAGAGGATCTCTCTAGCAATGGGTTGCAAGCCAATTTCTTAACATAATGTTTATACACTTCATTTGAAGGTCTTCCCTCAGAAAGCTATAAGATTATTGCTATATTAATCCAGTAGTTGAGTTCTGAAAATTAATTTCATTGACTTGCAAGACTAGACACTCAGAACTACAGAAGCCTCAATTCACAGGTTCTGTCAATTGTTTTTTCCCTGCAGCTGACATATGTATGACATCGGAGCTTTATCTGACTTCTAAAGCAGAAAGAACTTCTTTCTTCCTAAGAAAGAACTTCTAATTTCTCTGGAGTGTTTTGGACTTAGGGATTTTTGTTTGTTTGTTTGAAATTTTTCTTTTCTGTCAAAGGCTGTTTTGAGTCATGTCTTAAAATAAGCTAAACATTCTCTCTATTATTTTAATCAATTTAAAGACATCTCACATATGTGACATCCAACAGAATCCCTAATGCAACAGCCCCCATTCAACAGCCAGTCAAGTGTTTTTTTTCTCATACAACTTTCTGTCCTTCCAGCTGAGAACTTACAGGTTTATTTACTAAATTTATTAAATTAAAGATATTTGCATTTTGTGGTCTGAACTTTACTGTTCACATGAAAAGCCATATTTAGCATGGGCACCTGTAAAGGAGAAGTGTTACCATGATGCTGTATTTTTGATGAATAACATTTACAATAGAAAATGCCTAGAATCTCTGATAACTCTCCAAAAAATCCCAGTTTGCCCAACGTTGATCTTATTAGTGGTAAATCAGTTTATCCATCTCTCTTTATTCAGGAAGTACAGTCATGAAACTGATGCTATTTCTACCTTGTAAATTACTACAGTCCTAGATTTCAATAGTGTTGCTGCACCTTGAGGTTGGTGTCCTGTGGAGGTACTCATGCTGGAGCCCAGAAATGTCTGTCTCGCTTCTGCTCTTAAAATCTACCTCTAAAGGGGACAAAGCAGCAAAGTGGTTTAATCTCAAAAATTACTGTTGTAGCCAAAACAGGTTTATGGCATAGTTTCAGGTTACAGTGTGGTTCAATTTGAATGCAAATATTATAAATATTCAGTGACCAGTTTTCAAGGTGTAGAGTCTGCCTGTGACTTTAACATACAGTCTTCAGCTGCTTCTTTAGGGTCTAATCATTGACTTATAATTATGACAGTACAGTGGGAGTAACTGTCTCTCACTGCCAAGTGTATCATCTTTGGACCTGAAGTCAAACCAATCATAAGAGGAAACAACCCAAAAAAATCACAATTATTATTTTTGGTCATTTCTCAAATGATGGACTGATTGTCTTTCTAACTTCTTTTTGGAATCAGATGAATCTTCTTGGTCTTTTATCAATGAGTGCAAGGGAAATGAAATCTTTCTTCTGAGTACAGAATATATCAGCTGCCTCTTGAAACCAAGTATTAGGTGGAAATATGATCCACCTTCAGTAATATTTTGAATGGCAAAACATTCATGCCCAGTCCCCTGAAACATCAACTACTTCCTCTGCAGCTTTCAGTAGGAAATTTAGGATGGGATCTAACTTATATTTAGATGTTCTAGTTCCTGAAGTTATTAAGGGTCTCTCTGCATGCAGGAGGGATAGATAAATGTATATGGGGATGAAACTTCTTAAATCTCACCCGCTGGAGACCTCACTTCCTATCTACAAGCAGGGAGAAGGGACTTCACTTCATCGGAAATGTATTCCTCAGGAGGATAAGTGCACTGAAGAATGCTAGGCATTTGCACTTTGACACTACAGCTGTGTCAGTGCCGGACCACGTTACGGAGGCTTTGCAACAAAAACGTCAGAAAACCTAACTGTGTTGGGGTAACTGTGTGATAGGGAATAGAGTTTTTCTTGGCCCATGCTTCTGAAATTTCCTTAGGCATTAGTGATGGCTGAGGAGCTGTGAGCACAGTAATTCTTTCAGATAGTGAAGAACTGAGAGCCTATTTGTGAGCACAGATGAACGTAGCTCTGAAAGCCACATGAAATCAAGCAGAACCCAAAAAATGGAAAATGAATGGTGGTATCAACTGATCACAGGCAGTAATGAGGTTTCAGTAAGCTGAGAAAGCAAGAATTACAGTAGTGCAAACAACTCTTCAATACAAAGACAAGCACATTTCTTGTAAAGGCCTGACTCTGAGGAATCTGGAGGGAATGTAGTCTTTGAAGATTGCCTAAGAAATAAATGCTCAAAGTTCACAGGCTGACTTAATCAAAGCAAGTCATCCATTAAGACCTCCTTCACATCCCAAGTGCTTTGTATCTCCTTTCTGCACAGAAAAGGACTCTTTTTTCCTATGATTTTGTTAGTGATGAGAGATTTTATAAGAAAATTACCATCAGAAAGCCATTTTTCTCACTTTTATGCTAGTGTTGGTTTTCTTGGTGGGTTCTGTGATTTGTTTGGTTTGGCCATCTTCTAGCTGACGATGGGATGTGTGTTATGGACTACCATGTTAATTTCTGCTACCCATTCCACTTTACTTCCTGAATCTTGACCAGTCTGGTCAGGGAGGATGAAAAGTTCTCTTGCACTGGCAGAGCAATGACACTCTGCATAGAGCATCTTATAGTGAAATCTTCTGTTCTCCTAGACCTCAGATGCTGATGTCCAGAAAAAAATTCTGTTCCTGCTGGTGCAGGGCAGTGTGATAGGACTCACTCCCCAGGCTACCCAACCCTTGGGAAAGGAGGAAGGGTGAACTGAATCACTCAGCCTAGAAGAGTCAAATCCAAAGATGATCATTGTCGGAGTTAAACAGACAACATAAACACATGTACCTTCTGAGGCCTTTTCCTTTTCCAGGGGAAATCACTGTATTAACTATTTTGTCACAGTTAGTGGCAGAGATGCTACAGGATCATCATGTGGAACAGCTGCTGGTAGGGAAAAAGAGGGATCAACAAGTGACTAGCTGGAGGGACAAGGCCTTTATTTAAATGCCCTTGAGGTGAGTCTGGCAGGGATGCACTCATGCTAGTCACAGACTCTGCCCAGACTAGAATCATGGGTCATTTCACAAACCCTGGTGACCTGCGAGCTCTGCTGGTATTTATCATCCCAGCAAACAGTATACTTGCCAGCCCAATGAATTAAGTAGCTCTGGGGTGGAGTTGCAACACAGTAGGCTCATTAACTTATTGTGAAATCAGCAGAATTTTGGAATAGCACAGAAGATCAGCAGAGGATACACAGGACCAACATCCCCTTTGTCCCTGCAGGCAGGATTACCAGGTAAAGGCACACCTTTAGTAAGTCTTGCTGCTTCCAACATGTATAGGTATATATCTGCCCTAATTGCCTTGTTTAACTAGTTTTGGGTCCCTGATTTGCTTGAGTCCTACCTTTAGGGCCAATTTTTGATGCTTATGAAACAGTGAGGAGAAGAATGAGTATTGTGATGATAACAGCAGCAATTTGTTTCTGGACTTGCAAGCTGTATTCCACATTCAATAAAAATTTCATGGATTCTGCCTTTGAAAGAAAAGAGGGGAGCCTCATCCATCTCAAGGATGACAGTTTGATTTAAAAAATGAATGAAACCCCAACTGTAATAGATGGAAGTCAGCTGTTCTGGTGTCTATAAATGGCCAGGACACTGATAAATAAATAGTTAGAGTGCACAAATAATAGAAACATTACTCTTAAGAGCTCAAGGCACTACAAAATGGGTTGTTAGGCTACATTATGGGAACATGGAGGAATTTTTTTTTAATTATAAGGAAATATGAGGCAATTTTGAGATGGGGAGAAGGATAGCTGGGTATTCTAAAAGAGAGTTAAAATACAGTGAGAGACTTACCAGCAAAGGAAATCTCCATGTCTAACATCCTGAGGAACTTCCATTTTCTCTAGAGAAGACATGAAGAGGTAGTAAGCATGGACTAAGCTGGCAGCCTTCTGAGGGAGAAACAGCAAAAGGCTGAGTTAGAGAAGGAAAAGGAGAGCTTAAATATTAAAAATGGTAAGAAAGACAACAATCATATCCAATTTGAACTTTGGAGTACAGTGATGCAACACTCACAGGATAAAGTGGTCTGAATGCTGCGAAGAGTCTAGGAAATATGAAGGAAAAGTGATCTCTCTCTTACTACTGAGGGGAAAACTGATCCTTTTCTCCATTTTGAGACAACAGGAGATATCCATGACATTATAGCAGGAGAAAGGACTAAGAGATTCGGTGCATCTACTCTACTGCTATCAGTAAAAACCAAGTAATTCTCATTTGTTGTGATCAATTGTAATTAGGTAAAAAATTAGTAAGTGAGCACACTTCAGGCTTATTCTGTCAGTACTGGATTTTGTTTTAGTCCTGTTTTTGCAGTTTTATTGGCTTTACATGCTCTGAAAGAGGCCATTTCAGTCTGTGACCCAGGACACTACAGATGTTTATCGTTCCTATTTTAACAAAACCACAAGGTCTAGGACTAAAATGGCAAAAGAAAATAAGTAACTGAACTGTAGCTAATAGCATTCATTAGCTTGTTCTGCTATTAATGAAAGCAGAGTTTAACACCAATGTTGCTTTTTTGTCTAGTTTAATGACAAACTTTCTCACTGGACTCAAATTTTACTTTTGTAACAATTATCATGGTAATAATCATGGTCTTCATTTTGCTGGGAAAAAATATGTGATGATTACCACCCAATGGGGACAGATGGGGATTAGACTGCTATACAAAATATTGTGTGTATTTGTAAATTTAGTCCTTTTGTTTGAAAAATTCATTAACAAATTGACTTGAAGACTTGATAGATATTATGCAAATGAAACTGGCACAAAAGTTTTGTTTGTTTTCCATCCAGTTCCACAGCCCTGTGATTTCAGAGCTCACTGCAGCTATCAGCCCTGCTTTGATTATCATACACCAGGCACATTCTTGGAGCTGGTTCTCTCAGACCAGACCCTTTAGTTTGTGGAAAGAGAGTTCAAATATTGGCAAGTAAGAACCCATCTAATTATTTATCTCATTAGGTAAATGTCTCACTGCACAGTGCAAAACCTCTGTGTAGTGCCCGAATTCAGGTGCTGCATTTGCTCAGTTCAGGTGCTGCATTTGTTGCTGCAGCAAAGCTCTCATGAGTACATGAAGGACCTGGCCCTTACTTGAACTTGGCAGATAAGGAACAGACAATATTTTAAGCTGCAGAGTTGAGAACAGTAACCATCTTCTAACATTAAGGATTTACAGATTTTATTTTAATGATGTAAAAGAACAAGTCAATTCAGAATAGCATTAAACTTCTGTTTGTAACAAGTATCTTCCCTGTCTCCTTTCCTCTAATATACTTATTCAGGTGGATCTTTCAATCGGGTGTATTCTATATATACAAAAAACACCTTTCAAGACAATAAATAAATCCTAAGGGGGAAGAAGGGAAGAGTTAACTGATTTCCTATAACAGAAAAGCCTGCGAGTCCAAGGAACTGCAATCATGGATGCAGAGGCAAATAACAGGATCAGTTACGAGATAACACAGCCTTCCTCCAGAAAATCTTAGAAATTTATAGCTCAGTTACAAAAGTGTGCTGGGAATGATCATAAGGAGCCTCAGCCTCTGAAAACATTAACCTGAACTGAAGCAGAGCTGTGCAGCTGAAAGCAGGAAAGGAGAAAGGTGGGATCTGAAAAGGTTGGCAAAAATTTGGAAATAATATTAATATTAATGTTTTTCTTTTACATAAACTACAGAAAGTCTGGATTTATGAAGCAGCACCTGAAAGGAGGAATTGAGACAATGAGCATTGCTGCTTTAGTAATTTTTATTCCAGCTCTGTATTCCTGAACTGTGATCTCCAACAGCTGTGTCTGGGTGGGGGGAGGGAAGGTTGTGGTTGCAGATCGCTAGCTGGGAGGAAAACTCCCAGGAGTTTATACAAAGCACCATTTTAAAGCTAAGTGCATTGACTCAAAGAGGGGCCTTGGTTGGGTTATACAGACAGAAAACTGGTAGATGTTTGGATGGAGTATGACAAAAACCCTTTGTTTTCACACTATTAGGTTTTAAGTTATGGAAATTAATTAGAGACAGCTCAAGTAGGCAGATGACCATGTCTGCATCTGTACTACTGAGTGAAACAGAAGCAGTCACTGATGGGCAATGCCCACACTTCTTGGCCACGGTTTCCTCTGGGCCCCATCCAGCACTTGTATAGTATAATTATTATTTATGTGGCTAAAACTGTGTGAAGGCTTAGGTTTCAGTCTGCCAGAGCAGTGCTTCCATAGCGTGAAACTGCATGAATGTGCTGCACAGCCCTGACATGTACCATGTTGCATACCCAGGGATTCAGACACTGCTGGGACAGTGCTGAGACAGTCTAAGAGCAAGGAGCCAGCTCCAGTGGTTTAGTCAACTCTGTACTTTCTACTGGAAAGAGTTCCCAGCCAGTGCTATCCCCCTGGCATTATTCAGGACTTGCTGACTCAGGTCAAAACTATGCCAAAGAGTGTGTTACATGATGGGGTGATACATGGCCCTGTGAGATTGCCAGGTCCTGTTTTATTTTTTTTTTTTTTGTTACACTGAAATTACTTTCACCATAGAGAGAAGATGGGATTTAGTACAAGAGGAGTACAAGGGATGACTGAAAGCAGCTTTGTCAGCAATGCTTAGGGAATCAAGGTACATATGTACATGTACTCCTCCTGGCCCTGCCTGTCCTACCTCTCAGGGTAGCAAGGCTTCTCATCCACCCCTGCAGCAGCAGCTCCTCTTCTGACAGCAGTCACCAGCTCCAGCAGCAGCAGTGACAGTGGCTTGCTCTAAAGAAGGGACCACAGGCAGAAAGACCAATGAGGCAAGGGACTTTGAGATAAGGCAGTATTAATGACACTAAAAAGGCAATTCACAGAACAGTGTGTTTCAGCCACTAAAACATGTGATCTGGACCTTGAAGTCTCTGAGAAACCTCAGCAGAACCCAAGGTGTGGCTGGATTTCTGGGGGCTTCCCAGAAACCAAGCACTTTGCTCACACTAGGTTCAGCAAAAGGACCATGCCAGGACACTGATTCAGGTTTTGTGACTCCAGAGCAGCCAGATCTAATATATGGCAGCCAATTACCTGTATTTCATTGCTCCAACCAAAGTCAGAGGCTTAGGACCTTGGGTAGCAGGAATAATGTGACAACTGATCTTCAAGTGGGCAGCTTTTGAATTACATTCTTAGAAGTTCACATTTCACAGGAAATTTTGAAATGTTCATGTTTTGGTCCAAATCAAAACAAAAAAGGAGCAAAAAAAGAGAAATATTTGCATTGAATTGGAAATTCTCCTTTTAGGACAACTCGGCAGCAGGATTATTAGGAAAATAAAGTGCAAAGCACCAGGTGAATCTCCATTCCTATTAGACTTGACTGTTGATTTTATCAGTCTCTGACCTGAGTGGCAACTAAAGCAGCTTGCTAAAGTCAAAGTCAAAACAAAGAGTCAATAATGTAACTATCAATATACCTAGGGAAAGAATTGGGAAGGAAGTAATTTCAGGTGAAGGACAGTTTTGACTCATGAAGAAAAGGATTTTTGCTGGCCATGAATATATTTAAGCATGAAATACAATGAATACTGATAACCACAAGGAAAGCTGAGTTTTGATGCTCCTATTTCAAAATGCATTGCTTAAAATGGGTTCTGAGAGAATTTGGGATGTTTAGATGATACAAGAGCTGGAAATTGTGGATCCCTGTACATAAACTGCATGAGGGGATATGTTGAAGAGCATCTATCTTCCCTCTCTTCCCATGTGATTGAGAAGTTTGGAGTTCACCTGTATCTCGTGATTCCTAGATGTCAGGATGTATGTAGGCTCTTTATATAATACTAGGCGTTGGAGTCTCTCTTACACTTTTCAGGAGATACTCAAAACTTCCCACACTGTTCTGGTTTTCCTGCCTCTAAGCTTCATTAAAATTATCAGGTGTGAGAAAAATAAATGAGGCAGTCCCAACATATGAGTAGGTAAACAGTCATGACAATATTTTGTTGAAACCACTGAAATATGTACACATCAAAGACAATAATCTTACTATTGTAATCCTTGCCTACCTGACCCAGCCTATCCTTTCCAGCTATTTCTCCATTGCAGATAAATGGATGGGGCTTGATGGCTTCAGTCCTGTAGGCAGCTATGAGCTGCCACTTCTTCTGCAGGGTAATATAAACAGTGTCTGTGCTGCACAAGTAAGAGCAGCTATACTTTCTTATCAGATATATCTCCAGAGTTACAAACTTCCCTCATATTTCCCGGTCCTTGGGTAAGTTAATGACTTGTTTCATATATTAAATTAAATTTCTAGGAGCAGCAGGAATACTCCAGTGCCTCTCTTATGGAGAGGCTTTGACCAGGCATGGATTGATCTGAGAGTGAGGCCAGAGGCAAACAGACCTTTAACCCTGAGTCCACAACCCTGGCTGCTCGCCTCCTCATCATGTCAGGCAATGTCTGCACTAGGAATTATAGCTGAAAACTACTAATTCAAAATTATAAAAGTGGAAGATTGAATTTATGAAAATGGGAAACAGCAGTTTAGTGACAGTTTCTTACTAGAGCACAACTTCTGGGGCCAAAGTCATTAGTGTCCCTGTTAAACAGCAAGTAGCACAACTCACAACAGGGACCTCCTCTTGGCTGTGTCAGCTATTTTATGGGATTACTTCTGCATAGGCTATTTCTGTGGGCTGTGGCAGAGATTTAGGCTGGCTGGATATCCAAGTATCTGTTTACAAACATCAGGATGGATGGAATGTTATCATGTACAGTCAAAGGCAACAGGAACTGACACATCTGTTGGTGCTCCACTTCGGGGATACAACTGTGATTAAAAATAAAATAACGAAACAACATTAGGTAACTGTTACTGCCATTTAAATATTGAAATTGAAAATTACTTCAAGGCTGCTATCTAAACTCCACTAGACTCTAGAAAACAATGAAAAATAAAAGCACAATATAATTTAGAATTTTGATAAAAGACCTCTTCTCCCTGTTTGTCTGTTTGTTCTTTCTGTTAGTCAGTAATGTAAAAATCCTGTAAAAAGTCTTCTAAAAAAAAAAAATAACAGGGGAAAAGCTACATGCTTAGATTTAGTTTTAAATATCATGTGTTCACTCTGTATGGCTGCTTGTATGTGAACATTGTAGATACAGAAATCCATTTTGAACAAATTTAATTAAAATAATTGTGTGCATTGGGGAGGAATAGGATAAGCCAAGTTGAAATCATGAGGAGATAGAAGAAATCAACAAGAAGAGTAAGGATACCTAAAGCATGACCACAAAAAAGACATTACTGGTAAATAGAGTTATGAGTAAGATGACTACGTAGTAGGACAATCTAACATTAAAGGACACAGCCCTGCACTGGTGCTGAACTCCAGACAAAGGAGAAAGTTAGGCTTATCAAAACCCTGTGGATGATGGTGAAAGGAGCACTCAGATGCTGCTGTCAGTAAACCAAACCACATGAACAGAGGCTATATAGTGTGATCCTTCATTATGAATAAATGACAAATCATTTAACACCCAATGCACAGAAGCAGAGAGTCACAAGAAAGATAACTATCCCAAGAATGGGTAGGAAAGGAAACATCAAGACACAGATCAATTAACAAGCTCTATACTGAAAGTACTGGTGGCTACTTCTATTTCTGTGTTGAAAACAGAGAGAAGAGAGGCTCTTCTGGATGTGTTTCTGTACCAGGGAAAAGCAGCTGTTTGAGAAAAGAATGATGAAAGGTGACTTGGAGACAGTGACTGAAATTATAGAGTATACATTCTTGTGGAAGATAATAGAGAAAAAAGGCACAGTCATGGACTTGAAGTAGGCAACGTTCACAATTCAAGCCAATAAGGAAAAGTAATTAAGTTGTTGCAGAAAACATAAGCATAACCTTATCAGAAGGGAAAGTATCAAAAGAGAGATTAGCTTAGGTAAGCCAGAAACGTTTACTTGATCTTAAACCCACAAAGTTCCATCTGAAAAGTGGACATCAGATCAAATTCTAAAACAAAAAAAAAATAGCGGCATGTGTATGGTCCAATCAGAAGACTATGGCATAAATCAAACACAGAGCTAGGAAAGCTAGGAAACACTTGAAAAGGAGACAAGAATTAAAAATAACAAGGTGAAAATAAAATTATTATTGCTTTTCCTGCCTAACTGTGAGACTGGAGGCAAGGAAATGACATAACTCATGATCCCAAGAAGATTGGAATATTTAAAATACGTTTTTGCATGTGACCAAAAAAAAAAAGCTGCAGACACCTCACTAGCATAATTAACATTAATGAAAAAATTAAGCACCCAATGTAAAACAGGGAAGAAATAGGTCAGGAGAGCATTATGGAATGTTCTCAAGTCAGCCAGACCAGACTTTGGCCTGGAATATATTAAGAATGGGGTGAATTATTCAGATTAGCAATTACTTGAGAATCTGTCAAAAATGGCTAAAAGATATAAGTCAGGGAAAGGACAAAAAATAACAGCTGCCTTGTATAATGAAAAGGGAGAAGGCAGAGGAAGAGGAGGGTAGAAATATTAAACTAATCAATCTAACTTCAACTCACAGAAAAAAAACCCCAGAAACAAATACATAGCATGTCTAGAATTAAGTAAACACTGCAAATGCTTTAAATGAAAAGTAATAGCATAAAAACTAATTTACTAATGGATATAATTTTAAACCCATTTTCTTTATTTTTATACTATTATATAACAAAATTACAGGACCTTTCTTTGTTCAGGTTGTAAAGAGTTGTAAAGGTTGACTTTATTCAACCTCTTATTAACAATCTGGATAGCAGCCTTAATAAGTTGGCAGATGAGACAAAGTTGAAAAGAAGTGCAAACATGAATGTATTGAAAGACACAATTCCGATTCAGAATTATCTTGAGAAATTGCAGTGGTGGAATGAAGAATGGATGAAATTCTACATGATGTACTGCACTTAGGTGGAAATGATTAATTTTAATGCTCTGATTTATAAATAGCAGTATAGCCTTCATGCCTTTCTCTTCTGAGCACTATTAGAACGTCATGTAGAGAACTTGGTCCCTTTGGGGCATTATGCTTCGGAAGAAACATGGGGCAACTGGAGAAAGCCCAAAACAGTGCATGTGATTAGCAGCAAAGAGAATGTGATCCATGATGAAAGATTTTAAAAATAGAGAGCCTTTGGCCTAGGACAAAGGAAAAACTTTAGAGTACATGGCAATTATTTTCAAACACAGAAGAGAATAATCTGATCACCATTTTCAATGTGGATAGAAGAATTCTTAAATTTAAATTTTAGCAAATAAATAAGAGTTAGACATTATGGAAAGCATTCTAATAATAAACTTGTGAATATCTGACATAGGTAGCTTTAGGTAAGGGGGTCTTTTCCACTGGGATAGTTAGAAAGCTAGTCAAGAAAATACCAAGAACTAGGAAAGGAAAGTAAATCCTGCTTTGAGATACATGAATGAACCACACCATGAGTAGCTAACTCATAGCTTTCAGCTGTATTTGGCTTCTCAGTAATTATAAAAATTATAAAAATTAATATATATATATATAAAATAAAATAAAAAATAAAAATAAAAATAAAAATAATCTAACAAATAAAAGAAATAAACAAAAATAAATAAAAATTTAATAAAAATATAAAAATTATTGTTAAAAAAATGACATGTCAAATATGTCAAGCCTATAATGAGCAGGTGGGCTGCTCTGGTGTAGGAGCTTTGGCTCAGTTTGAGACTCCA